TACATACATATATATATATATATATACATACATATATACCTATATATATATAATTCAATAATATTAAATATATTTAAAAAAAGTAAATAAAAAGGAATGGCCAGAGTTTATTATACGAGCCTCCAGCCACCCCTAATGTGCCTAACAAGTCAAGCACCACCTCCTTAAGGTCAACTGTGTCAGAGGGAATTAGAACCCCCGACCTGAGGTGTCTCATACCGTAGCTCATGCATGTGCGTTTTCATACTTGATTATATGTATATATATATATATATAGAAAGCCCAAAGGCTAATATATTAAAAAGAAATAAGGATACATATAGATTATGTGGAATGACCCAAGCATGACACCCTTCACCCACGATAACTACCACATAAAAATGGTTCCAAAAAAAGAGAAAATACAGAAAATTACAAAAGACCTAAAGAAAAAAATAAAAAATGCCAAAAAAACGTAGTATCAGGTAGCTAGAGAGCGACCCAACTTTGTTTTGTCTCTGCCTCTAGTTCTAGGAAAAGAGTCAGCTAATAAATAGGTAAGATGAGTGTCATTGCCAGTAGTGACCAAAGTATCATCCAATAAGTTCTCAAGCTCGAGTCGGCCTCCAGTCTTCTTCTTCCTCCTAGAATAGATCTGTCATTCCTCATCCGAAGATTGGTTCGCCTGATCAGTGGATTGGTATAAAGTGTGTCGGACATGTGTAGGATGTTGTTAGATTAAATCACTATAATCATGTGTTAGAGTGGTTAGATGCATTTTATTGTAAAAAAAACTTGCACCCTACATATTCTAAATATTTTTTTATTATCTTGACAAATCAAGCCAAACACGAGCCAATTCGAACAAAATGATTAATATCAAGCCGAACATGAAAAGAGCCTTAGCTCGCTCAAGCTCGGCTCGTTTGCACCCATAATTCCAACCTTTCAATTAAGGGCATCAAGTTTCAAGCTATGGTCATCTTCGCACAACAAGATTCAAACTAGATGATGATATTTCTAGCACCTATAATGAGGTCCTACATCGCTTGATTGTGTCAAGATTCATAACTCTCCAATCGACCTTGATTAAGTAAATGATTATGAGCGGAATAATCAGGCGCATAAGATTTCATTGCGAGAAATGGCATTCCAGAACTTTTAACTTGATGGTCGGCAAATGCTTCCACTATTATAGTACCGACCATAAAGTTATGAATTGTCCCTTCAGAGTTCCAAACCAGCAATAAGTGGCAACCACCCAAGAGAACAATTTTAAGTCTCATTACAAGAATAAGTAAAGGAAATCTAATGGAGGTCAATATTAAAAACATCAAGGGAAAAGTTAAGCGAAGCAAAATTACTTTCAGCCTCAGCAACAACAGCAAGTGATGGTGTCTCAATCATGCCAACAAATTCTTCCTGTATCGTATTACTAGCGGTACCAGCAGTTACCATCAATGTATGAACACCCTCCAACGGCACAATACTAGCCTCAGCGACCTCAAGATCTAGAGCAACCCAAGCAGGCAATTCTACCCTGAGCATTTTTTATGACACATCAAGAAACTCGTAAAGCTCCTGATGTAGTGATAGGTATTATCTTGACTTTAAAGCAACAGAAAAATGTATTATTTGACTTTGAGGAATCTCACTCATTCATATCCAGTAAATTTGCATCTAATGTATTGATTTCTTCATTACAATCAAATCTATCAATTATTATGTCATATGGCTCACCCATGATTATTACTCGGTGTACTCGTGATTGTGATATTATTATCAATGACATACATATGTCTGCTACTCTCAAATTATTCCCACTATATGAGTTTAATGTAATTTTGGGTATGGAAAGGTTATTTACATATCATGGTAGTAAAGATTGTCATGAATGATGAGTGAATTTTTGTATATCTGGTTTCATCCCTTTTAATTTTAAGGTTAGTGGAGTTCTTGTTTAATATCGGCAATTAAGGCTTGCAAATTGATCTCTCATGGGTGTGCTGGCTATCTAATTCATGTGGTAGATTTTGAGAAATCCAGTGGTGGCTTAGATAGTATTCCAATGGTTCAAGAACTTGCCGATGTATTTCCTAAAGATTTATCTGGCTTACCACTAGATCGTGAGTGGAGTTCACCATAAACATGATTCTGGAGACCACTCCAATTTTAAAGATCATATAAGATGGCCTCAATGAAACTCTAGGAGCTCAAGATCCAGTTACAAGAGTTACTTCACAAAGGATTCATCCGGCCTAATGTTTCGCCTTGGGGATCACTAGTTTTGTTCATGAAGAAGAAAAACGGAAGCGTGCAGATGTGCACAACTACAGAGAGTTAAATAAGGAGATCATGAAGAACAAGTACCCATGAGAGCTGCATGAAGAGATCGTGAAGAACAAGTACCCACTACCTCGTATAGATAATATAATCAATGGTATCATCATAGCGTCATATGAAGCACTTTATGGGAAGTGTAGATCCCTTTTGTGCTGGTTTGAAGTAGGTGAAAGGCGAATATTCAGACCTCATTTTGTATACTTAATACCGAGAAGGTTCGTCAAATTATAGATCAACCCAAAGCACCTGGAGATTGAATTCAATGTAGGAGATTACGTTTTTCTGAACTTTTCACCTATGCATGGAGTTCCACGATTTGGCTACATTAGATAGAATCGGTCTCGCTTCATTGATCCTTTTTGAGGTGATCAAGAGAGTCAGCAAAGTTTCATATCGTTTGGCTCTTCCTTCAAGACTTGCAGGAGTACAAAATATCTTTCACGTCTCTCTATTTTGGCATTATGTGCATGATGACTCTCATATTATTTTGTATGAGTTATTGCTGATTCAGGAAAACTTGAGTCATGAAGAAATATCGGACTGTAGTTTGGAGGTAAAGTTCGACGGCTTTGCCCCTGATCTATTTCTTTTATAGGAGTACTTTTAAAGAAACAATCAAAACGAGAAAAAACTTGGAAGATTGAAGAAAAGATGGTTGTGAAGCACTCGCATATGTTCAAGAATAAAAGTATGAATTTAGAGAAAAATCCTTTTAAGGAGGGTAGCATGGAAGATTCGGAATTTTTTCTTTTCTTATTCTACCTCCATTCTCTATTTCCTTCCCGATTTAGTCGCCCTGAACTGATATGATTCCTTTCCTTTTTCTTCCTTTGTTCGTTGTTGCATTCCAGATTTGATCAACCACGTCAAACCATCACCTATGTTTAAGAGGATCGCAAAAAAACCGACTTCACAATCCTTCGCAACCATCTCCTCCCCTAATCTCTAATTCCCCTCCTACCTTTCTCTCACTTTCGCCCTAAACCATCGCTTTAGTGACTGAACCCTTGTGATACCATTACGATTAAAGCTAGCTGAGAAAGCAACAGCAGGATCGTGACGAACAGAGACCACCAAACACTACCTTCCTCCTCCTCGCGCTTTGCTCCTACCCCAAAACTTTGAGGAATGATCACTAGTTGCACTAGCTAAATACTTAGAGGTATTTTTTGGCCACCTCAAGGTGAGTAACTGTTTTTAGTAGGGAATAAATGTACCCCTCCTAGTTAGGGTGTTAATCCTCATTAATTGTATTAGCTCTCTAGTTACTTTTTATAATTGTTAGTCCTATCTATGCTACTTCAATTATTTTTCTTGTTTTGTACTAGTTATAAGCTTCATTTGTTTCTTGTGATGAAATTATTAGTAGTCTTATTTTTTATTGCATAACTTCTGCATATGTGAATAAATCCAACATTTTATAACACTCACTTCTCTTGTACTTTACTATTGTAAATTACATATAGGTTTAAGTCATATGACAAGTTGGTGTGAAATAACATATTACTTATATAATTATTGGGATAACAAGCAGGTGTGAGATAACAGATAACATTCTTTCCTCCTATACATTGATTGTCAAACGCACTCGTTGATATTTTTGCATGACCGGGTCTATTCACCGACTAGTAGGATTGTTCCCACTGGAGCAGATTTTTTAGTTTTATATTTCATTGTTATTTTTATTGTTATGCGTACAATATTCTTTTTGAGAATACAAAGAGGTTTAATTCATTTTATCATGTCCCGCGTTATTGGGACTACAGTCTTCCGAAACCAGGGTGTTACAAAATTAGATCTCCAGCAACAATAATCATAAGTTTTCTATCGATCCATCAACTATTGCCAGGGAAACTGATGATCAAATACATGCCCCAAATAGGATACTTCGTAAATTAATTTCAGTACCTATTCTTTTCAAGTGCGGATATTGATTTGAGAGTTGAAACGTCTGTCTGGAAAAAGATCCAAGAGTAGCCCGCTAACCTACTTTACCCAACTTCTACCGACAACACCAGAAAACATTTCCGGTAGACGACAACCTACACCTCCAAGTTTTGATCAACATTTCCAAACTTTGCTTTTTTTCCCAATATCCTACGCTTAAATCCAAACGAAGACTAATAGCACCTCGATCACTCGTAACTCGGCAATGTACAGACAACTCGGTGAAAAAAACATGTCTCTAATAAATCCATTTTCTCGCAAATCATGTGGTGCATAGAAACCCGCGTTGATGAATAAGAAAAAAAGATCAAAGAGGTAACGTGCCTTCTTTAGTCGATCGAAACCGGCATCGGAAACAGCGATTTCAGCGCCAAATGCGCCCTTCGACTCAGTTCCGGCGGAGGTTCGACAGAAAAAGCCGTAAGGGCGCCGGACAGTGAATAATCCTAGCCGATAAGCTCTCAGCCGAAAAAGATGAAGTTCGCCGTGAAGATATGGCTCTGCCGTGGATAAATAACCAATCCTTCGGGATTTCGGTGGCCGTGTGAAGAAGGTCGAGAGGTGGCAAACACTGGGCGCCATTAACGGATAGAAAGAAGCGAAGCGAAAAGTGGACAGTGGAGCGTGTAAGAAGGTATCCACTTCGCTACTAACTATAGAACTTCCATTTCATTAATCTTCATTTCATTAAATTTATTAAATTTATGGCAGATGCTCTGAAAGTGCATTTTAGTAAAATTAATCTCATATTTTATTCTCAGATGATCTCAAATATTTCTTTTACTTATTTTTAACAAACACATCATCCACGTACTTCAATTTTTTCTCTTTTATTTCAAATTTAAACCTATAAGATGATCCCAGTGTTTTTAAGCCCACAATTATGTTTTTTTTTTTTTTAATGCATTAACAGCATTCATTTCTTATCTGGTGATAGCCAGAGAAGACATTTAGAAAGCTCATCATTAAATGGTCGATCTTTGATTCCACCAATTATGGATCCTCGGCGGTAGTTAACTATCATTCTGGCAGGCAGTGTTGAGGATAGTGAAATCCACTCACAATCTCCACTTATTATTGGTTTTTGTACCTCCCAAATATAGTCGACCTCTTTTAGCCTCTACAACTCCTTTTCAGATAAGTTCGATTAGAGTCATCACGAAGAGCTTGTTTTTCTGCTCCGTTGATCTAGCGATTGGATTCATGTTCAACTAGTGCCAAGCGATGTCAAATGATATCCCTAATTTCTTTGTTGCCACCATGAAAAGGCTTCTCGATGCTCCCTGAGGGTCTTGATCAACAAATCCTTATGGACTATATAGAATTTTTTACTTATTAGGAAATATTTATCGGGCTTTTTGTCGACTACATAGATTTCAAGGGTTGTCTTGCTAGTCTTGAGACCCCTTCACGTCGGTGTTGCAGATTGAGTGACTCCTACTCCGCACTTGTGACTATCCGAAGATAGCAGGTTCAGAACCACTCCAAGTTGTCCTAAATGGTGATAATATCTCCCTTGATATAAAAATTTACAATCATGTGGTACATTGAGACCACAACCTTGTAGTTGTTTGGTAATTGCCGACCAAAGATGGTGTTGGTTTGTGGTAAATATACTCCCAGGAAGTCCTTCAAATAGATGAATTGATTTTTACCATCCCTCCAAGTGGCTGGCAAAGCAATTACTCACAAGACCTCCTTCCTCTTGTTAGAGAAACCATACAGTAGGTTGGTCATTGCCACCACCCTGTCGATTAGGAGTTTCATTTTGTCAAGCATTGACTTGAACATGATGTACACAGTTTTTTGTGTTGATCAAAGTTATTTTCTCATTCTTATTGTCAAAAAGATGATCTTGTAAGGATATTCACAAAGTTTTTGGTGTTGATCAAAGGTATTTTCTCATCCTTGTTGTCACAAAGATGATGTTGTAAGGATTCCCCCTCCTGGGTAAGTCTGTGTCAATGAAATTGATAGGTGGATGGATGTAACGCCTCGAAGTAAATGCAGTTGCACATAGTTCTCCCGATCATAGACTCTTTTGATTGGTCTATCAGGATGATTCTCCACCTCTAAAGATAGTTGGTATAAATCCAACAATGTGGATTTTGTTCGCTCAAGCTAATTTGTCTGGGATTTCTTCTACTAGGCCCTTCCTCTGACCATGGGAGCACCACAAATTACTTGAGTTTTCCAGCTCTTATCAACTCTTTGACCAGGCTTTGGAGGTGCTACATTCCTTCATGTCATGGTCATGGTCATGGTCCCTGTGATAGGAACTATATTTCTTCGTGTCCTTGAGGAATGCTTTGGTTCTCATTGGAGGTGTCTTTCTGAAGTATTCTTTATTATGAATGGCATCTACCAATTTCGTCTTTGAAACTTTCAATGGTGTGGCCTTCAAGGCATCATAATTATTCAATGGTCCCTCATGGTAAAGAGCCAGTCATTTGTTAGGATATTGTGTTTGGCCTCTTGGTTGTAGTTCCCGTCGAGCCCCATGGTGTCCCAAGGCAATCAACTGTCTTTATATTGTGGCCAAACAGAAGGACACAAGTCCTCCCTCAGCCTCCACCTATCATCTATAGGGGCCCTCTTCTGCGAACGATGAGTATTTGATTCTGCTCTGGCAAATACTTGGGTTGAATGTATTCTTCTGCGAAAGTGTGATTGTTGGTGAACTTCAATATTTCTCCAAAGTTTTTTAGTATATGGAGACCCTGAGCATAACGAAAAGGTTCTTCCTTCAGCCACTGAGCTAGGGCGGCATGTACGATTTCAAGTTCCAGATCTCGCACTTTCAACATCTCCTTCTAAAAATGAGTGATAACCGAGCAAAGACTCTCATTTTTCCCTTGCCTAATATGCAGTAGAGCCTACAAACTCTTCTTGTGCTTTGGGCGCTCTCAAACGTCACCACAAACATTGTTTTTAAGTTAGCGAATGAGGCGATCACTCCAGCCATCAATTCATTGAGCCACATGAGAGTCGACTCCCTCAATGTGATGAAGAGCAGTCGACACTTAAAAGCGTTGACGATCCTCACCAGATAGATGGTTGGTTCAAATGATGCTAGATGTTTAGTTGGATTAGCCTGACCCTTGTAAGACTCTAACAAGGGATTTTGAATTTCTTCATGGGATTAACATCAAATATTTGTTGAGAAAATGGATTCTCTAGCTGACAGGGTGTGTTGTTACGTCTAAATCGCTATTTTATCCATTAGTGCACACCATTCACTATACTGGTACTAAGAATCTTCTATTCTTTCTGAGGCCTTAGTTATCCATTGGTTTTTGGAAGCTAGCACTTCCTCCCGAGGGTTCTCCTCCTTTCCTTGGGCGACTTCTTCTAGGATGGCATCAAGCATCTGACCATCATTTGGTCATTCAAATATTGGATATGTTGTTGTATAAACTCCCTAGAGCATTTCATGTTTGAAATTTCTCTTTGGCGGGCTTCATCTCTTTGTGGCGCTCCTCTTATATTGCTAGCATGATCTACATTTGTCGTACATTTCAGAATATTGACTCTGGATCTGTTTCATGAATCATAACCAAGGAATAGAGCGTAGAATATGAAAGAGAGAGGGAAACATAAAAGAGAGTGCACAATAATGAACAATGGAATGAGAGAATTGTATAACAATTTATTCTTGAAAGGACACCCTATTTTTAGACAATGTGGGTGTAATAGGTAAAGTTATATTAATGCCCCGACTCAAGAAAGGATTCTACATGTTAATCTCTGTCTTTCACTCATATGAGCCTAGGGCCTTATTGCTATCGGGTTTGGTTGTTGGCCTCGGAAGGACTTCATCAATCTTTGAGAGTCGATTGGGTCTAGTTGGATGCCAATCATCTATATTTTTGAAGTCTTTTTGGGTGTATATATGGGGAGCAAGCGACTTTGTTTGTGTTGTCGAAAGATTAGCTTTGTAGAAACTATCGGTTGGTCTGTCTTCTATGAATCGAGAGTTAATAGAATTGATTGACTAAGTATAGTTGATTGATATGTATAATGGCATTGACCCTTGATTTTTGTCAAAGAATACTCGTCGGCAGAGCGAGGCTAAGCTGACAGTCAAATGGTGAATCACCATAATCCGACAAGTAGCCTGTTCTTAAACAAAGAGATCTTGAGGAAGATTGCTGGTCACTTCTGGTGATGCCTTAATATATGAGGGTTTGATCCCATCTTTGTACCTGATTGCTTCAAAGTGTTGGATTCAGGTAATATTTATCTTGTGACTCGTTGAGTCGCTCGACTCGCATCACATGCTCATGCATAAAACAATTGGTTTTAGTTCAAATCTGTCTCTTAAATCACAACCAAGGAATAGAGCGTAAAATATGAAAGAGAGAGGGAGACATAAGACAGAATGCACAATAATGAATAATAGGATGAGGAAATTGTGTAACCTTTTATTCTTGAAAGGACACCATATTTTTAGTTGATGTGGGTGTAATAAGTAAAGTTATATTAATGCCCTGACTCAAGAAAGGATTCTACATGTTCTATGTCTTTCACTCATATGGACCCAAGGCCTTATTGCTATCAGGTTTGGCTGATTGGGCTTGGAAGGACTTCATCAATCTTTGAGAGTCACTTGGGTTTAGTTGGCTGCCAATCATCTATGTTATTGAAGTCTTTTTGGTGTATAGATGGGGAGCAAGCAACTTTGTTTGTGTTGTTGGAAGGTTAGCTTCATAGAATCTATCGATTGGTCTATCTTATGCGGATCAAGTGTTAATAAAATTGATTGACTAAGTCTTGTTGATTGATATGTATAATGGCCATTGGCCCTTGATTCTTGTCAAAGAAATCTCGTCGGCAGAGTGAGGCTAAGCTATCCATCAAATGGTGAATCACCAATATCCAACAAGTAGCCCACTCTTAGATAAATAGATCTTGAGGAAGATTGCTAGTCATTTCTAATGATGCCTTAATATATATGGGTTTGGTACCATCTTTGTGCCTGATAGCGTCAAAGTGTTGGATTTAGGTGATATTTATCTTGTGATTGGTTGAGTCGCTTGGCTCGTGTCACATGCTCATGCACAAGACAATTGGTTTTAGTTCGGTTCATTTGGTCGAGACAGTAACTTCAAAGAAGTTTGATCCAAAAATTATTTTAGGTCCAAATTTTCTTTCCTAATTTAATATTATTGATATATGAGAAAAATAAACTTGTGCTTTTCCACACTTATAACTTTTTTTATGGCTTTTTTGTACTTTCATTATTTAAGACTTTTTTGCCCAATAAACAACACTTACATCAATAAAGTTACATTCATAAAATGTTAATTAAAGAGTCCAATTAACATAGGTAGGGTTTACTTAATATTAAGACTTTTTTGCCCAATAAACAACACTTACATCGATAAAGTTACATTCATAAAATGTTAATTAAAGTGTCCAATTAACATAGGTAGGGTTTACTTAATATTTTTATCGTGTATTATAAGTTGAGTCTTTTGATGGAGTTCAAATACACAATTAGATAATATATTGGATGAGATATTTTGGAACTTAATATATATAACATAAATATGTCTCGACATAATCTAACGGTCCAGATCAAAAGAGACACAACGAGGATCCCTTTGGCAAAAGTTACAAGACCTCATAAATCTGACCGGCTGAGGACCACCCATTTGATCTATAGCCAGCCGATCGAAGGGTTGTCGGCCGACCAAAAAGCTGCCCAGGCCATCAGGTGTTAGACATTCACGACAATTATAAGACAAAATGTCTAACACCTTTAACAATCTAACAAGTATCAATGTGAAAATCTCTTAACAGCTCCCCTAGAGCTCACCAAAGATCACCAAGAAATAATAATAAGGCAAATCAATCAGCTACCACACAAAAAAAACCGACCAACTTCCTAGAGTAAATGCCGATCGACATCCAGAGAAAAGCTAACCGAAACCTGCTCAGACTGCGACCTAAGAATCCGCTGAACATAAGTTCCAGGCACACAAAAAGAACGTAATATACATCCCCTCTAAAATAGAGACACAACATGTAATTTTATCTTTTTTTCCATCTATCTTCTATAAATTGGGGGATTATACCATGTATTAAGGGGCTCTTCTCTTAGACCTTTCTTTTGTAGGAAGTCCCTCTCCCATTTTTTCTTGTAAACTCTAATTTCAATGTATAAAATATGTCACAAAACTCTTGTACACCCCAATTTGCCCTCGACGAGCAAGTCGATCTGCACGCTCTCGTTCCATTCAACTCTCTTTCTCTCTCTCTTCATCTTCTTCACAGTGTCTATATAGCTCTATTTTTTAGGCATACCTCACATGGTAAATCCGAATTCAACATATACAATAGGACATGAAATAAGATTTGAAATTTTTTGAAACTATTTGAAAAGAAAAAAAAAGGATATTTTTTTTGTTCTGTTAACAATAAATTTTTGTGCCTGCTTAATTCCAAATAAAAAATACGATTAACTTATTCTTCCGCATAAAATATTTTCCTGTTTGTAAAGGTCATGCCCGCTGAACTAGCCCTCAACGATTCAAGCTCCCGTTCAATTCCCCGCTCCTGCTCGTTCGCGATCTCAATATCTATCCATGGCCTTCTCTTTTCTCGTTTGCCGCCGTTTTCGCCACATCTTCTTCCTCCTCAAACCTCCACCAGTCTCTCTCGCAGTAACCCGCCATCTCGCCAATACAGCAGTTGCCACACCTCTCCCATCCGCGCGGCCGGATCCAAAAATCTCGCTATCTGCCCGCCTCTCCTTCGTCTTTGATCAGATTGATGCCCTCGAGCGCCAGCGAGACACTACCGCTAAGGACGAGGCTCTTCAGCGCATTCGCGCCTGGCGTCAGTCGAAGCACCCATCTCCACCTCCATCTTCCAACACATCCACTACAGATGCAGATTCTGCTGCCGATGGAGGAAGTAATAGTGCCGATGTCCGGATGAAAGAGGATGCTAACAGTGCAGAACTTGGGATGGCGGAGTTATTTCGGAGGGAAATAGAGGTGGTACATCCCTGGCCTGAGTGGATTGAGCTGATGGAGAGGCTTGCCAGCCAGAATTATTTCGATTTCCGGCGAGTAGAGGAGGACCGCGTCGCTGCCAGCGCTGGGATTGATATATCGGGAGTGAAGGAGGAGGTGGGGTTAGACCTTACTAGGGATTGGGCAGCCGTGAGAACAGCTTGTATGAATTTTGGCCGCGACCGGTTTGACATTCTTAAGTATGTTGCTTTTGTTGTTTACTCGAGTTTCTCCTGCTTAATGCTAAACTGAAAGTTGCATTGATGGCTTTAGTTTGCTTTCTGTTAAAATTTGTTGGTTATTTTAAGGAAAAGAAAAACCCATGTCAGTTTTGCTGCATGTTGACTTTTGCATGTCATGTAGAAAATGAATTAGTCGTGACTTCTTAAGGTTCGGCTTATGAACCATGTGCCGAGTTTTGATTTGATTTGAATGCAAAATGCTTCCCTCATCTAGTAGATATTTTATTCTCTATCTGGAAAATGTTGATTGTTTTTACCAGGATAATTGTTTATTTTCATTCGCGATTTGAGGCCTTTATTTCACCAGTTGATAAAATGTTAGACTGATCGCCAACATTTTCTGATTCCTTGTTAGCATCTCTTATTTCAGAAGTTGGTTTTAATCTATTTGGTGTTGCGTTATCTAAAGCAATAATGGAATTTTAGGTCCTTAGCAAGGAAGGACATTCAAGTTCTGGTAGGTGATGGATGCCCCAGCATGCAACCAAAAGTTGTCTTCTCAGCAAAGCTGTTGAGAAAGTACCTTCATATTGATGAAGGAGATGTATGGAGCTTGCCTTGTTGTTCTACTTCGATTTGGTTTTCAATTCATCTGCTTTCCTTAATGTGATGTTTCAATTTGTATGCCTGTTTTTTTTAATGCTTGTTACTTCTTAAATTCAAATGTTTCCTTTATTATACTTTTTGCTTTGAAGCATGTGATTAAATGCGTGCATTTCAACACCTAAGTGACATCCTAAAACTTTTAAAAAGAGAAAGCATTATCATTCATTAATTTATTCAACATCCTAGTTGGAATTTCACTTATTAACAAATTATCATCCTCAAATAAAAAATAACAAATATAGAAAAATATTTTCATTTTCTACAAAGCTTCATAGGACTGCCAATGATTGATAGCTTGGGAGATTTGGCATTACTCATTCAAAAAAAAGTAAGGTCTCTTCGAAAGTGCATATAATAAACAGCTTAAGTATTATAATTCATAAGAATTTTGATGCATACATTCAGGAAGAAACCCTCGAATAGTTGAAATATGTGCAGACAATAAATCTATATGTTTGTAACTAATCTCATCAAATATAGTTAAATGAAAGATAACTCTTAACATACTATTATTTTGCAATTAAATAATAATCTATTTTATCAATTATAACATATCATGCAATTTCAAATATGAAAGAATTATATTTTGACAATATAATAAAATAATGGATTAAGTATATAACATATACAACAAATGAAAACAAATAGAGGCTTAGAATGGAAATTAATGCAAATTTAATCTTATTCATGACTTCTCGGTTGCATGTAAAATGTCATAGCAAATACTTACTGAATGATGAAAGGTAAAGTTTCCAGACGGTGCATAGCTTTTAGGCGTCATGCAAGAATAACAGTATGTTTTCTTCTTCCATTAGCACCTGATCAAATAAGCAATGAGTAAACATGATGAGAAAATTAAATATATTATCCTTATGGGCTGTTACATTAGCAATGATGCTAATTGGCCAATTTTACTTGTCAACTTCTTAACCAGTCTATAAAATAAGGGCACGACATGTCTTTTGAAGATTGCACTACTTAGTCATTTATTGTGTTTGCCTTTTTTTGCAACTTTTCTTCTTCAAATTTTTATGAGTATGATTCTTGAGCTCAAAGTTGATGATTATCGTAGTAAAGCCTTAATCGATAATATTCTTAAGATATGTTGAAAGGAGACTATCAAGCAACAAATGGAGGAAGAAAAAATTTTCTTCTTAAGAAGCCGTGATGTAAGAAGCTGAGTTAGAACTTGGTGAGGCGAGTAAAGAGATTGTTCATTTTGAAACTTTTGTTAGACACATGCTTTCCCAAAATGAGCTTATAAATGAGCAATGATTTCTCCAAATGAGGATGATGTAATTCGTAAAGCTGGTAGAATAGACGATAGTGTTTCAACTCATTTTCTATTTTTCCTTCTAGTTTGCTCTTTAGAAAATTTAAAATCAGTTTGTTTGTAGCTTTCACATGCCCATCAATTTTTGTATGATGCACTAAAGCTAATTTGAGTCAAAATTTTTTTTTATGGATTATTCATTATTTTATCTATGGATTGTGGTTCGTTATCCATTATTATTATTATTGTAAACTTATATCGACATTTATATTAGTCTAAACAAAGTTATGATCAAATTTTGCAATAATATTTTTGAGTTTTTGGTTCAATCTATTTTGTGAAATAATCAATTATAGAAATAATCAATTATAACTGAGTAATTTTCTTAAAACAATTGTTTGAAGAACATGATTAATCAAATTCATTCTTCAACTGACAAACGATCATGAACTTGAAATTGGTTGCAACTTATGGGAAGATAGAAGTTGCAATGGAGCAAATTTTTGGCAATGAATAAATTTTTTGGAGAATTCATATGCATCTTTTTTGAGAGTAAAACAAGAATATAATTGTATTAAAATTTTATTTGCTAAGGTTTTTCCACTAGAATGACTTGTGTATTATTCTGTATGAATTTCTGCGAGAATTTTCTTAATTTGAGGCTGTTGGAATCAATTGATTTTGGGAACAATTTTCCTTCAATGAGTAGATGTTGGGCTACTTTAATGTTAATTGTTCGCTGATACATAATTGTTGGAATGCTTTTTTCCTAACTTCAAGCATTCAATGAAAGAATTAAACCCACTTTGTGAGATTTCTATTTCAACATTCATCACCTATGCTTTTTCTGTGATAGGATAAGATAAATTCATAGCTGGTGTCCCAGGTTTCCATTTTTCAAAATGGGTCAACAAATTGATTTTGTTTTCTAAGAATTTCATTAATTCTAAAATATTAAAAAAAATTAATTTAGTCTTAACTCTTAAGAAATATTTATGTAAAATTTCTTCTTTTATCTCATATTTTATGTTTGCTTGATTTATAATGAGTCGAGAATATTGAAAAATGATTAGATGCCAATCAATGCTGAATATTAATAATTTGAAAATAAATTCATACTGCATGCGTCGATACAATTTTGCCTACTTTTTAAGATCATAACAACTCTAGTTTTTAAGATATATGACAACATAGAGTTCAAAACAAGTCATTTTTATTGATAATTTTCTCATCAACTTTAGGTAGAGCAATATCAGCTAATATCTTTTCTTTAATGACAATTTTTTTTGCGTGAGAAATTTAGAATTTGCGTAATTTCGTCGACTATTCTATATTTTCCTATAATGATTACATTTTGATAATAATGCTCTTAATAAATGGTCAGTGTTGACTTGAATTGAATGTACTTGAAAAATATGACTAGAGTTATCGAGTCTGGCATTTAGTGACCTAGACAAATGTTTTATTATTGGATATTTTAATTTGTTTCCTTGCAGAATTTTGCTGTCATAGTAAATGTACATTATTTTTTACCATCTTCCCTTATTATTTCTATGCTCACTTCTACTATTCCAAGGTATAGAAGCAAATCTTCTTTTGATTGAGGCAATGGCTGTGAAGAGAAGCATATCTAACTAATCGAACACTTTAGCATAATATTCATTTCATATGAATGTTTAGCAACCTTAAGGTTTGAAATAATTGAGAACATTTTTTCGTAGATTTTAAAATGAAATGACTTAAGTTGGCTATCATTCTAGCAAGTCATTGATGTTCCTTAGCAATTCTCATAGGGGCATTTCTCGAATAGTTTTGGTTTTATTAGGATTTATTTTTATCCCTTTAGCGGTGAAAAGAAACTCTAAATATTTTTTATTGAGCTTCAAATATGCACTAGAGTGAATTGGGACACCTATTGAAAGTTTTCATTGTTATAAATGTCTTTCTTACATAAATTTCAATAACCGTGCACTCCTCCACCCATTTTTATTAATTAAAAACACAATCCATCATTTCTTTGATAATGGTTGCTAAGTCAATTTCTCTTAATTGAGGTCATTTGAGGCTTACTTGCCTAAAAGCATTCATGCCTACTCTCAGTATAATTGGAGCCACTGCAATGATCTGAATTTCTTAAACTAAACCTTTCGAAATTCTTCCTTCATTGCTTTACCATTTCTTTATTTAGGATAAGCCAAGGTTAATTCATGGTTCGGGAGTGCAAATCCTAGGTCAACAATCTATAAAGATAGAAGACCCATTTGGTCGGAATAACCAAATCTGATCTAAATGCATGATAAAAAAGCCAAAGGAGGCCGCCACTTATACAAAAGGGTGTACCAATAACCGAAAGAAATTATTGTTTCCCTTTACTTACAAAATTCGAGAGACGATATTCTCTAACTAGTAAGACTAGTCCCGACTGAATAATGGGTGTCCTGTATTTTCTGCATTACCCAAAATAGTTCATCGACCACGCAATTCGCAAAATAGAACAAGACAAAGGTACAGTTAGCTCCCAGAGCTTTAGTGCAAAAAACCGGCGCTACGACTACTGGAAAGAAACTGCGGTGTCATATTCCTGTCAACTAGAGATACAACACTAGACCACAAAGTAAAAGCTAATGCCAGGTCACTGAAGCCACCATCACGACTTTAACCTAAGTGGAAACAAAGCCCAAACAGGGCCACAATGCTGAGAGCAACTTTGCGGCATGATTTTGCAGACCTTGCAATATTATGCCGCAAGGCATCACCTGAATGCTGGTCGAAATCGAACCGGACGGCCTCACATCATTACGGAAGCAATGACACAAGATTACCAGTAGGGTGAAATGGCAACTGAGCACCGAGGAATGACACTGGGATCTCATTTCACACCCAAGTGTAGAGCAATGTCATAATGTCCAAAGAACAATATTACGACACTAGGGAGAGATGGGGCCCTACGCTCAAAGGAGCACTAAGAAAATCACGGCTAAGGTAGGGAAACATAGTGATCTAACCTAGGTATTCTCTGACAACAACCTAACCTTGTTCCTCTAGCATAGAACCTAGGGCTATTTTTAGAAAGGAAAGATGCACAAGGGAAAAGATTTTCACCCATGTGAACATTGAATGATGTCTGAAGCTTTAGCCACCCGACCGATCACTTCAACGAATGATGTCTGAAGCTTTAGCCACCCGACCGATCACCTCAACAGCTTCGACGACCACCACGGATGGCAACACCGACGTCCAGAGACTCCACCCAAGAGGAGGAATGCAGGGAAGCAGGAGGGAACCATGCATTTCTATGGCTTCAAAAGCTCCAAGAGGGCCAAGCAAACGAAAATGCAAGCCTTAGACTAGCAACGATTCACTAGAAGGCGCCGTTGACATGTCAAAATGCCACGTCAGCTGAAAAGACGAGGCGCGCTCAAGAATTGCCCTAATGTAGAGCATCATTGCGAATGTCCAATTGGAAGCCACCATCAAGTCCCGAATTGTTGGTGGCGTCGCAGCGCTGTTTAAGCGGCGGACACCACTTCGGCCCTCGTAATAATGCCCATCAAATTGGAGCTGCAAAAGTCAAACAACAGCTGAGGGTTGTGTGCCAGACTTGGTGTCGCGGTGCTGTCGTGATGAGCTACACTCCTATGCTTTGGGGTCTGCGTGAATCACAAAATAGCGACCACCTCGATATCGGGGTGCTCCTAAATGGAGAGATAGTAAAATATCGCTGGCTAGAGAAAAATAACTCTCAGTGCACAAATGACAAAATAAGATAACCATGGTATTACTAGAATCCAAAAGAGGTTACACATTTCCAATAATTTATGGACCATGAATACAACACATGCTCAGGTCTAAACGGAGGGAAATACAAAACATCGACAACAAAACAAAAAGTAGACGTGCCGTCAGACCCTGAGCCTCGGGCAGCCATCTGCTTCTCACGGTGTCGCCATTTGCTGTCCCGCTCGCCCCTCTTGCCAGACTATGGTAATGAGGAGAACGCTGAAGCGCCTTCTCTCACCTCTCATAGGCTTCCCCTTGCCACTGAGCCAGCATACCCCGTCGTCGCTTGATGTTGTTGAGTCAGACCATGATAGAGTCCATTTTCTCTAAGAGAGTGTCTACCGTCTGGTGGAGCACGTCGACATCCTCTTGCAATGTTTAAACATGTTGGGAAATGTCGTGGTATGACGAAACCAGGCGTTTGTGCTCAAGATTTTCTAGGGGCTAGCAATTTCCCGCTTGACACTGATATCAAAATCTGTAATCTTTTCGCTCTACTCGCTTCTTAGGATGCACGGGTGCACGCTGTCATAATGCGATTTTTCAGAATAGAGCAATACAATCGGGAAAGAGAGACATGAGGCAGAGCTTCATTATGAAGGATTCAATGCATCAAAATCATTAACCCTACCCTCTATTTATAGATAATCAGGCGGCACGACTCCAATCAAGATGTCGATACACAGGACCCGAATATTAACTCCTAGTGGAGGCCATACATGTTTTTATGTTAGGCGCCATGGCGCTATCATTGGGACTGAGGTACCTCGTAGTTCGAAGTGTCAAAACGTCAGTGCTCGTGTTGAATTGTGTTGAATGAGCGTCACAACACCCGGATTGGGCGCCGTGGCGCCATACACAGCGGCGGCTGGTTTTAGATACAAGTTTTATCATGTGCAGGGCCACGGCATGGCTATTGGGGCCGCGGTGTTCGACAACTTTTTACCTTTTTTGGATTTTCACGCTCGAGCAACCAGCTATGCCCTCATAGGCCCAATAAAAGCCTGAAAATGTGGGGCAATCTCGAGAAAAGACAAAACGACGCCAACAAAGGGTTGATGGGGAGTTGTAGAGTGGTGTTGGGGTGTTGAAAGCAATGTAGGTAATTCAAGGGTCATTAATTTTCCTTTGATAACAACCCTTAAAGTATTGTTTATCCATTTTTATCAAACTGGGCCCGGCACTATTCAACCAAACAACGATAACCAAACAACGATGAAGCATGCACATTTTGCCTTTGTGTGATCATGACAAAAATACTTTATACCGCGATGCTGACTTATGTGCTCCATCACTCTAGCACTGTGTCGAGGAATCTCTTTATTTCACAATGAAGCAGAGTGGCAGGCCGGCTTGAAACTCGCTTTGCTCCGAGAGTGAATGCATTTTTTTATGAGTAAAGCATTATTATTTCATATATTTATTTAGATTTAAAGTTGTCGCTCTTTCAATTTCTCAGGTATGCAGCTCATGCAGTCTCAGAAATTCATGCAGCAGAGGATATATACTTGTGCCTAAAGAGGATGAAGCCCGAACACTTGATGTCATGCGTATTCTGTTGACATATGGTTTTGATCATGTCAAAGAATCCGTTGAAAATGATAGTTTGAGAAAAAAGAAGTCTGTGAAAATAGTAGTCCGTACGCTTCTGCATGAGGTAGTTAAACTGAGCGCAGTTCCAAGAGATCCAAATCTCTTACCTCCAGTGGTCAAGAAACAGCCTCCTAAAGTAAAGCAACCACCACCTCAACCCAAGCGGCGGGTAGGGCGAGATGATGTTGAAATGAAGAAGGGAGATTGGCTCTGTCCAAAGTGTTTGCTTCCACCTTTCCTTCTATTATTTTCACATATTATATTTTTCTACCCATAACTGTTGGCATTTTTGTCAGGTGTGACTTCATGAATTTTGCCAAGAACACTGTTTGCTTGCAATGTGATGCTAAACGCCCCAAGCGACAACTCCTTCCAGGGGAATGGGAATGCCCCAAGTGGGTTTAGTGATTTGCTCACTTCAACTTTTCACATCGTTTTAAGGCTTCATTAAAATCTGAATCCTCTTACAATTGTTTTTCTTGCTACTTGCCAGGTGTAACTTCCTGAATTATAGGCGGAACATGTCATGCTTCCAATGTGAACATAATCGCCCCCCAGATGACTTCACAGAGAATCAAATGTTGGGAAAGCAAAGGGGTCCAAACACCAGATTACAAAGGGCTGTCAGGACTTCAGATTTTTCAAATGAGTGGAATCTTGATTTTGAGGACAATGAATCAGATGGTGCTGATGTTGCAGCTTTTGAGTTTGCTGATTCTACTAGAGCTTGCGATCGTTCTTCTTTCAATGAACTACCTCGTGGAGGAAACGCCAGGGAGTTTGAAGATGTTGTTGGACACCAAGATAGAGGCCGATATTTTTCTAATCCTAGTAAAGGAGGTTCTTCATCACATTCACGTGTGACAGGATTTGATGATTTTGATGATGAAGAGGATAATGTGGACAGTTATGAACTTGATGAGGCAGATGGTAAGGAGACACATGTAATTTTGCGAAAGAGCTTATCTGAGTTTGAGAGTGGCTCTGAATCAGAAGATTTTGATGATCTAGACCGGTATTCCAACTCAAATCAACATAGGAAAGATTATTTATCTAAATTTGAGGATGAAAATATTGCAATTTCTGCACGGAACATTGATGACAGCCCAAATTCTTTCAAGTCAGGTAATGAAAGGGAGCTTTTGGATTCTGATCATGCTATGCAAGGAAAATATGACTTAAAGCATAGAAGGAAGGTTCAACAGAAAGCAGACCGCAAGGGTTTTGCTAGAGGAAGAGATTCAGACTATAATGACAGGCTTCCTGTTTCTGATTTTGATGATGTTGAGGATGATGATGATGATCTATATTCCAATAGGAGCAAGTTGAAAGGAAGAAAAGGTGCAGTAGAAAGGATGGGACATATATGCCAGGATTCATATCGTTTTGACCCTAAAAATGATCGAAGAAATTATTATGATAATGATGATGATGAAGATGATGAGTTATATTATAGTGGGAGTAGGAATAGAGGAAGCAGAGGTGCATCAAAAAGTTCAGGGCACAGATTCCAGGATTCTAATCGTGTTTACTCAAGAAATATAGGAAAAAAGTTCGATGATAGAGGGGTTTCTGATCTCAGAAGAGGTAGAATTAATCAATCTAGTTATGGAGCAAGAGGTTTTCAGAAAAGTGAGAAGGGCCCTAGAGGAAATGGCTATGGTAGGCGTAATGATGATCATGGATACCAGCATTCTGCTCGAACGGCTGATCATTCAAAAATTAATCATCCTCGATATGGAAAGAAAAGCCGTAATCATGGTCAAATTAGGGGTGTCAATGATGATTATGATTTCAATGATAATAATCAAAGAAGGCGCATCATTGAAAGATAGATTTTTAGTGCCATTTTAAGAAAATAATATGCCTTGCTAAAAATGTTTCGAGTCCTTTCTAGGCGAGCCTAAGCTGAGATACCTTGCTTTTGCTATCACTTTATCCTAAGGAATTGTCGCCATGGAATCCTAGTTGTCCTGGTTTGTTACTGGAAATTTTAATTATCAGCGGCCATTTCTCATGCCAATAACCTTAAGAGTAAAGTGCACATTAACTTGTAACATTTTTTTTTTGGCCTATTTAAGTATTCAACCCATCTGTAATTTTTTTGGAAATTAATCTACTAAAAATTGAGCTTACATAATTAGACTCCACTTCATTATGTTCAACTAGAATTATCGCAAAGTTTTTGGTTAACCTTCTGATCACTGGAGAGCAGAATTTAATTTGAAAAGCTACTTTTACATATTATAATCTTAACAACGTCCCTCTCCTTAAAATCTTCTTCACTGATAGGCAATTATCTCTTCCTCGGAGAAGGAAATAAAAAACTCAATAAGGAACTAGGGATATTTACACAAGTAGCACGCAATTTTTATGCATTTACCTCTCTCACACCTAAACTTTCATATTTATGTAATTAGCACTAGTGCTTTAAACTTATGCATGAAAGGGTGTATTTCAATTTCAAAAAGTGGTAATAGTGCTATTTTTATTGTGATATTAAAAATTTGAGTGCTATGTGTGTAAATATGAAAGTTTAGGAATACATAAGAATTGTGTGCTATGTAAATGCCACAAAGAACTAATTGTGACAGCTTTGTTTAAGATGGCCCATGCTACTGCCAAAACATGTCTTCTACCATGGTCTTGTTTAGACACTCTCATGTGCATTTTCAGTATCACGAGTTATCTAGTCATGTCAGAGCATACATTCTCTACCTTAGTTGTTGATTTGTCACGCTGGGCATGTTTCGGCTTGAAGTACACCTGTAGTGTTTGCCGGAGATAGAGTTTATCGAGCTCCTCCTGCACTTTTCACTTGGAAGCGCCATTTACCGAAGCTGTAAAACTATTGCTGTTTATCTTCATTTATTATAGGCTTGTGCCTTCATGCTGGACAGTCAATCATGCATTTTTCATAATTGAAGCTGAATGGCGCAAGCCATTAGGCTATAGGTGACATGTTATATCACGAGCTAAAGTTCTACATTTTGCCAAAGAAATAACTTCTTCATGTGCATGCATTATAGATTTACACGCAATGGTACCTTTCGTTAGTGCATTCTAATTTGATAAAACCACCCACAATGCTGCCAAATGCAAATTACCCTCTGAGTTGAGAGGGGTTTGGTGAGATACTTTTTCACAAAATTTCAAGCAAGCATTCATATCACACAACTTATATATATTTGACTTAAAAAATGTGGTAAGCTTTTTGTTTTGCATGCATGATGGGCTTGTGCTGTTATCTTGTGGTCGTGCTGCTGATTATGCTACTTTGAACCAAGTTGTTGATGATGTTGTAGTGATGTAAATTCAAGTTCTTCAGGTTTTTTGTCTAAAGGACTATACCTCATATTGTCAAGGTGACGAGGATAGGATAGCCATTGTGGCGCTTGAGACAAGAATAATGTCAGGTTATTACGTTCTTCTGGCCCATGCATGGCTGATTCAGTGCAGTTCGATCAACAGTAAGTAGAAACTCAGTAAGTTCCATCTCTACCATACCAGAGGACATCACAAATAAGAAGAAAACAGTCAATAATATTATCATTTTCTATCTTAAAGTTCATCATGCATATGTATGCCATTTACCGTAAGTTTTTCTCAGCTCTTTATGTCCTCAACCTAATTATAAATTTTATGATAACGAAGAGTTGAGTTTTGGCTTCATGTGGGTAGTTTTGAGAAACATAGTTGCATTTAACATTGATACTGAAGAATGAAGGTTCATGATCGAGATAAAAATAGATTAGATGAGGATGACAGTAAATTTTACGATACTTGTGATCTAACTATATTTTACAGTTGCCAAGCTAGCGAATCTTTATCCATCCTGGCTAGCTTCATGAATTTACTTGTATAAATAGCTTGGATTTACTCAGATGACAAGTGATGGTATCCTTGATTAATGAGTTTTAGTATTTGTGATGGAAGCGTCATATTAGATACAAGAGATGATTGTAATCGACATTGGAGTTCTTTGGCTCGGAAAACGCTCAAACGCTTTTATGAGGTAAGATTTATACTAAAATATCTTATTGTTGAACTTGCATTCATGTCTTTGGTGATTTTTATTTGAGTTGTTTTTGTTTTGATGAGTTTTTCTATCGAATGACTTGAATTTAGCTTTAGCTCAAATATTTTATTAATTGAAATTAGAACATAAGATAAGTATGGCATGATGCGATGACTAATTGATACCGTGATGAATTATATCATGGGAAATGACAGAAGGTAAAGAATTGCTGAAATTTTGTAGTTGTAGAGTCGAGCATGCGGAGTCTTGTAATCTACTTTTGGCGTTGTAAATGTTCAGTGATCCTATAATTTCATGTCACTCATTGTTTTGGTTTTCATATAATCCTGCAATATTCTATCCAGATGCTTGCCTAAAAGCATTGAATAACAAATGAATCTTGATTGACATCACAAATCACATGTTTTCAGGAGAACGATAATACCTTGCTAAAGCCTTGTAGATGGTCACATTTCTTTTTTTCACCGAACCAGTGTGGTTCAGCGTTTGAAATAACAAAATTTGATTTACGAAGGGGGTGTTTGCAATTATCTTTGTTTGCTTTTTTTAATATTATTATTATTTTTTATTTGTTGATGTTGGTACTTGCAACAATAATATGTTTGCTTCAATTGTGCTTTAATGCTTATAAATTTTAAAAAAAGAACATTAGTATAATTTAACTACTTTGGATTTATGTGATGAGCAAAATTTGACTAATCAACCTTCATTCTAAAGTCACCATTTCTTTTCCAATAATGAATGTTGAATCACTACGACATTGTTACATTGTCACTCGAGGTTTCTTGGTGAAGAGCCTTTTCATTTAGGTGGTTATTGCTGTTGTTGTGGATGGCTTTCCCGTATTTTTCAAAACTCATGAGCGACCATAATGATTTGAGGGTTTCTTGTTGCATTTCTTCCATGCTTAACTTTTGAATATTTCTTTGGAGCTTTATTTTGGTGTCATAGTGGTTTACTCTTTTTGGGATTTTGACAACGAGGAATTTTGGCTCTTAGGGTTTAGGTTTAGGTTGAAGGTATAAGCTATGCGAGCCAGGTTTGGATTAGATAGGGTGTAGGGTTTGAAGGCTTTGATTCAAAATGATATTGTTTTAAACTCCCTATAAGGTGTAAAAGGATCATTTTAAGTATTAGATAGGGCGTAGGATGGAAGGAAGGAAGGAAGAATATTTGATTCTGTACAGTGACGACGATGGAAAGATAGGATGCAATTGCTGCCTCGTGTGCAGGAAAGTAAGGAAGCCATGTATAGTGACAAGAATTGGAACGATACAAATGTTTGAAGGGTCCACCATTTATCCTCTAACTAGGTACAAACACACCATCTATAAGACTAATGTTGCAACGCTCAAGGGGAGGGAAATTTGAGAAGATCTCTGGTGATTCAGTGATAGCGGTGGTGTTGGTCGGGCGATTGAGATGACCTAACAAAATTTTTATAATATGCTGATGTTGACCGAATGATAATGACATTATGTCATAATAGTAGTGTTGATCAGGCGATGGTAGCTTGATGCCAGCTGGTGATGGTGGTCCTGAGGTTGCGATAACCTTACAAGTGTGTTTAGCTTAGAGATAGTTTTCAACTTAGCGCTCGGGCGAGGGTGGCTTGTAGTCTTAATAAATTACAACCATCTTCTTTGCCTCAAAATTAATTCTTTTTGAGTAAATATATACCGTAAGCTCAAGTGTTGCCACAGTACAGACACATCCACGTCTCGGTCTTCTATCAATACAATGGGGAAAAACAACATATAGTACAAGATGCACAGCTTCAATTATTTTATTAATTGTCTCTCTTATTTATAAAAGGGGAGGGAAAAAGAGTGTGGGAGATTTCTTCTTTTTTTCTCTATGGATCTCTCCTCTCTAGAGATTGTTTTCCATCTCTGTTATCTCTATAACCTATAACCCAAGGAACCTCTAATTTGTTGGAGATCAAAATTCAATATATTTTCTCAGGTTCCCTCGAAAGATTTTCATTCATCTTTTTCTATCACTCTCTATGATATAAGTTCTTTATCGAGTTGTATATACTCACGAACAAAACGAGACTCTACATCTTGAAAGTATTCAATAACAGTTAACCTATCGAAGCAGTTTAGTCGAGCCCCTCACAAGTATCCCTTGGGATCGACCTACTGCTGGAGTGAGGGCCATCATCATAGAACAAACATACACCTATATCTATTTAAGGGCAGTCTGACAATCATGTTGTTGCCTTTTTTATCATGACATCATGGACAAACGCCCTATCGTACGAAATGTAAATTCATATTATTATCTTATCTCTTATGAAAGGGAACCATAGGGGAAGGGGGAGCCAATGAAATCCAAGCTAATTCTTTATGAAACTGAAGCCTTTCTCTTGGTCATCCCTTTTTCCCGAAGATTTAAGGGAGATTTAGTGAACTTGAGCCTAAGAAACGCAAGACCTCTCCTGAAGTATATGAGCCATGGATAATGCGAGACTCTACGTTCTAAAAGGATTGTATATATATTGCGTGCGCAATTAAAGTTACAATAATTATTGCTAATGATTGTGGTGATGATAGCTTTGATGGTGACAAAGTAAGAGAAAAGCTATCATATATAATTAGAGAACTTCGTTCTTCACAAAGGTTCTCATGGAATTTTTGTTCACATGGCATAGAGGAAGAGCATAGTTAAAGTTACGATAATTGGCTTAAAAAAAAAAAAAAATCTGTCTTTACTTCATTTCCGTTGCATCAAAAGGGATAGGCAATTGAGGATGTTTTCTTTTATAGCTAGCTACATACAAATAGCACCAAATTATTGTAGGAATCATTTCAATTTTTTTAGCTGAAAAAGCATTGGATGCAAAGTATCCTAAGTGATTATGAGATATACTTCCATGAATGATTTATTTAATAAATACCTTTTCCTAGACTTAAACCAAGGTTTTCTACTGAGCACATATTACATATGCCAAACATATGTATGCCCAACGATGTAGATGCACAGAGGTCTTTTTTTTTGTTTATATGAGTCGTCGTGTATACATACGTTCGGCGTATGTAATATTTTCTTACGTTAGACACGTTTAATGTGCTAGTCTGACAAAATGTTTGAGAAATGTGAGTCAAAAATAAAAAAGATAAACAATCCTCTTAAACCCTTTAGCTAGTCTCTCTTACAATTATAAACTATGTTCACATATTGTTTTAAACATAACAAAATATAGATCTACAAATGTGTTGCACATTTTTTCTGAATTTACATACTAACACCTGCAATATTTACATTTTTATCATATTGCTGCTACTATGAATAAAACGGTGCATTTGATTTCAAAAAGGTAGTGAAATGATATTTTGGATGCGATGTTAAGGATTTGAGTGTTATGAATGTAAATATTAAAATTTAGATGTTAATCATGTAAATACATAAGAAATTTGTACTACTTATGTAAATGCCTTGTTTATCAGTGCAACCTTCATATTTTTTAAGAAGTATGATTATCACTTGTATAATTATAAGTTTTAATTCAGATTTCTTATATTTACACATCACAACATGTGTGGCAAGATAATATTAATTTTTAGTCATGTAAGTATTAGTTATAGTATTTACAAAGTGCGACTACCAGAAAATAAAAAGATAACGAATATGTAGTTTTAATTAAGCTGGTAAAAAACACGTCTTAAATGTATGTGATCAACATTCTTACCAACCACATAGTAGTCGAGGGTATAGTTTCTCATCGTGAGGTTGCAGTTTCGAATCACACATACTATCCAATGGGCTCAATTTTCTCGAAAAAATATGTATGTGATCCGACTTTTTTATTTAAAAAATAGGCAAATTGTATTTAAATTTGGACATAATACTATTATTAGAAATTATTTATTTTAAAAATATAATCTTACTTTGCAATGTCATTTTTCAATAAATTATAATTAATTACTAACTTATAACAATCAATAGCATCAAGTAGGGGCTAATTTATAAGTGAGTGTATATATAATTTATCAGTAAATCAATTTATTTAAAAATAGCATAAAAACATAAACTATTACTATTTGAAGGCTATGATTTGTTCTCCATTGGCAGACTTACATTAGTGCAATATCTATTAATCAACATTTTAACATTAGTATTATTCAAAGTTGGATGAAATGGCACCATATTATAAATTGCATTAGATGAATGTTTCTAATTTATTATGGGTGCATTGTCTCATCATAGAATTACTTTTAATCTATTTAAAAAATACTTGTATTTACTTACAATGACTTATAAGAAAAATTGTTGCGCGTGGAGTATGTGTACATGCAGCTACCATTTTCATTCGACAGATTGGTCTTTCTTTCTATTTCTGTAATAAATACATCATTAGGGATGATCTTTCTTTCTATTTCTGTAATAAATACATCATTAGAGATGAAAGTGAGTCAAGCCGACTCGTGAGCCGACTCGAGCTCGGTTTGATAAGTGCCCTCCTTTGACTTAAAAACTATCCTATGAGAGATTTTATAACTAAGCAGCGCCTCGTGACTTTTTCCTCCCCAAGTTTTTTTATGAAAAAAAATATATACATGTATAGTGTAACTTATTATTACTATATCTTATTAACTATGCTTATGAAGGCATAATGATTATTCTTCTCTCTTTTATTGATGCATAGTATCATGCACAAAACATAATCAATCATGAATGGGACAGGAGCAATGACTACCACATTACCTAAATCACAGAAGTGCGAGTCTTACAAAACTTGGAATACAATAAGATTTATTTGTCGCTGTTTTTCATTTTTTTCAAACATGTTTTTTTTTTTCTTTTAAGTAGGATTTTAGGAAACCATCTCATGCTTATGATCACCTAAAATATGTTTAGAAGTTTAATAAATTATAGAGGTTTAGTAAATTTTAAAAATTTAGTAAACTAGAGATTCATTTTTTAGAATAATACTTAACATTTTCCTCGTGGGATCGATATGCAGTACTCTTTAAACCCAAAACAATAGTTAAGCTCTCAAGCTTAATTTGAAGATCCATATTTTGACTTGTTGATCAACATTCCTATAAATGCAATAGTAAAATTACATACATTAACCGCTTCATAAATATTGTATTGGCGAAATAGTTTTATGTGGGTATGCTTTCTTTTTCTTTGATGCAAAAGTGACATTCCTAATTATTTCATAGTAGCTTACAACAATGATGCCTTAACCATATTAAAATCACATAGTGCATACAAATTCAGCCCTTGAAAGAGATACAAACCAACATGGCCTCAAGCAAACTAAACATCATGAGCATATTCATAGTAAGAAACCCTAATATTAATGCTGGCCACCAGCTTATGAATTAATTTTATTTAAAAGAATGGAATCATAAAAATTCTTTTTAGCTTCAAGGTCCAAAATAATTGGACTTAGTTAATTTTTTTATCCTATAAACTAGTCATATGTTAAGTACTTAATTCCAACTTTGCTTAGTTAAATAACTTCAATTATGTTCAAAGTATGGTCAATATTTCATACCATTTATTGTATAAAAAAAATATGTAGCAGGAAAGCTAAGTTCCTAAAATTATATATTTTTTTATCATTTTAAAATTACATGAATGTCATTACTTCACTTAGACTTAAAATATGTGTTTAACTTTTTAAAAGTTAACATGGAAGATTTAGGTGGTATAAATAAATAAATAAATAGTTGCTTGGACATAAAAAGTGATTGGTATACATGTAAATGACCAAATTATTATCACGATAATCGTAGTAAATGATAAACAAATTGGATCTAAGAAAATTGTTAAATTTAAATTGACATCGATGTAATTATATATAAAAAAATTAAACAAAATTGTACTACCCTTATTTCACAAATTTATGGATTGTTCATGATCAAAATTTACTAAGAATATTTCGAGTTAATTTTCTTAAGAAATTATTAGTCAACATACTCTCAATCTTTCTCTCTCCCCCTTCTCTATATCTACCTCTTCCCCTTGCCACCCCCTCTCACCCACTCCCTCTAAAATGACCAAATTCAATCATCCCAACAAAGCAATCCGCCTCAACCTCATAAACCCCTCCTCCTTTCTCTCCTTCTCCTCTCCCACCCTCATTAATACACCCTCCTCCTCCCTCCCCGTCACCCCGCCACCAACCAAGCTCTACCGAGGCGTCCGCCAACGCCACTGGGGCAAATGGGTGGCCTAAATTTGCCTCCCCCAAAACCACACTCTTGTATAGCTCAACACGTTCAACACCGCTGAAGACGCCGCCATGGCCTACGACACCGCCGCCTTCAAATTCCACGGTGAACTCGTCAACCTCAACTTCCCCAACCTCAGAGACCACCACATTGTCCGAACTCCACCACCATCTCCTTATTTGAAGCCAAGCTCAAGTTTTCAATGACAATGGCCTCCGTGAACATGAAAGGAAGAGAAAGGGGACTTGATATGGATAGCATTTGGGAACTTCCCCAACCTCAGAGACCACCACATTGTCCGATCCTCCACCACCATCTCCTTACTTGAAGCCAAAGCTCAAGTCTTTCAATGACAATGGCCTCCGTGAACATAAAAGGAAGAGAAAGGAGACTTCATATGGATAAATTTTGGAATTCTTTGAAGGATTCTGCTGAAGATTAGTTTTTCAGGAAATTTTTTTTCCCATTCAATTCCCTCTTTTTTTCTTTTGAATTTTAACGGCTAACTTGCATTTTATTATAATAATTATTATTTAACTGTGGTATTACATTTAGAGGTTTTTCTTGTATGCACCTACTTAACAAAATATGTAATGTTTCTTTATTATAAGAGTCATTTGGCAGAGAATATACATATAATAAATAAAGGCATTTTACATAAATACCATTCAATTCCTATGTATTTACATAGCTTTAAGCTTTACTCTTTACACACATAACACTCAAATCTTTCATATCACATAAAAAAATACAACAATTTTAACTTCTAAGAAAATAAAATACACCATTTCATGCAAAGCTGAGTTGGTATGTATGTAAAAATGGAAGTTTAGGCAGTAGATATGTAATTTGTGCTATGTATGTAAATCTTCCTAGTAAATATTCATAACAGGCAGCCTTGAGAGAATAAAACAGTTAATACGGTGTAGGATACAGTCAAGAAAAATGTATTTTGAAGTAAGAAAAAAAAAAGAAAAGAAAACAGTAATAAAATAGAAAAGAAATAGCGTTAGGCTTTTTATTGGGTGTGGAGGGATTTGCACCCAGAGCGTTCCATTCATGCTAATGAGGAACCACACAAGCACTTCCATGCAAGCAGGGACGTTAAAAAAGTTTCTTGTTCATGAAAATCTCATGTTCAACTTATTAATTATCTCATTTTTGATTCGTTCGTTAAGCAAATTAGCTGAACACGAACAATTATTCTGAGTATAAACGAGAGTACACGAACAAAAAATTATTCGTTCGTGTTCGGCTCATTTTAGCTCAAAATAATTAAAAAATTTTAAAAAATTACTTTTCTCGTCTTGTCCCACCACATACAGTATATAAAGATATATATATATATATATATATAGTTTTTTTGTCATTGTTAGAATTGTAAAAATGTCCAAATTGAGAAAATAAAAAAGAAAGTAGCGTGGGACAGACTAACATCCCAATAGATTTAAATATATGAAATTTTTTTTAGTCCCATATCTGTCAGCAAATTTTCCTTGTAGCCTTCGAATAATTTAAACAGGAGAAAACACATGGCTTGTGTGAAATTGTGGCTTGAGAGCTGAGTTGGATTTAATTCGAGCTAAAATTGAGCAAACAAATGAACAAATTCGAGTAGCTCATGAAAAAATCGAACAATATCAAGCCGAATACAAACAAACTCATTATGAGCCTAATTCGAACATGAGCCGATTTTGAACAGGTGTTAATACAAACAAGCCGAACACAAATAGAACCTCAACTCGCTCGCATTTGGCTCATTTACACCCCCTACACACAAGTCCAGCTATAAGCTATAATAAACCTCACAAATTCAGAAGAAACTGATCATTTGTCAAAAATTAAGAAATTTTAACCAGGTTAGGAAATACCTTAAAAGGCTTGTCATACGGTTAGAAAAGTGAAATATATTAAAAAAAAAAAAAAGATAAAAAAGTATCATTCAAATTAGCTTCTTCTGCGCCTATAATTAAAAAAAAACAACGCAAATCAGTTCTGTGCACTTTCAGCTTACTGCTTGTCTGATGATGTCTCTGCAAACTCCAAATCATTACCAGAAACTGGAGCATCACTTTTGCTCGCCATCTCGGCATCAATCTCCGATCGACGTTCCATATCAGATTCCACTGCAGCTGCTCCTGCTTCTGATGAAATTTGCATTTCTGAATCCTCATCTGATTTCTCTTCAATAGTATCAACACCATCCTCAAAAAGCTTATTATTAGCATCATCTGCCTCCTTCAAATTCATATTTTCCAATTCAATGCTTCTTGGATCAGCTGGTAGCTGCTGAATTGGCATCACATGAGTCAAAACTTGGCCTTCTCTCTGCTTCTCTTTGTACTCAGCCAGCTCACTTTGATATCTTTGCTTATCTTTTAAGCCGATCTCTTGATAAACCTGATATTTACACACAGAATATGAGTTAAATTTGTAAATTATTCAAAGGAAAAACACATTTTGTAGTTCTCTTGGGACTTACAGCTCTCTCTGCTTCTGTTAAATTGTTCCATAGATCACCAATCATTCTGCTGATCTCTCTATCTTTCCCTTGATGGATCAGCTTCAACTTTGCATGCTGCTCTGAAAAGAAGAAATTGTAACCGCTTCTATTTGGCTTTGGATGTGAGGGATCCCTTGAGCTGATCCTCTTTCTTCGTCGTCGACGGTGACTGACCATTGGACTACTGTTGGCGTTCATTCCTGAAAAAACTGGGACTTCAACTGCATTTTGCGGTGTGGCATTGAAAAGGATGCCTTTAAGCTTGTTCGTGCCGACTGTGACGGTGATGAAGTAGCCATCATCGAATTTTCCGTTGATAACTCCGACCACTGTGCGGTTTTCGGGCAGTGCTTGGCCTAATGGAGATGGAATGAAGCATAGAAGACATCATGAGAATCTTATTTATGTAAACAAGAATGAATACAAGGGAGTTTCAGTTCTAATGGAATTAGGCAGGTTTTAGGAAAGAACTTCATATTATTCTATATGAATAGAAAATGCATGGACACTAAGTAAGACCGGTTGATAATGTATTACTGAGAAGCTGTATTTGCAATTCAAACTTGGTTTTTGGGGCTTTAGGTGATCTGGGCATGGACAAATGATTATTGAAGTGCAGAAAAAAGATGAAAGACAAATGTAAGAAAATTGAAAGAAAAAAAAAAGATATAAAATGAATAGAATTTGCATATAGTATATTTAACCACTCAAGCTTTACTCATCTCTCACAGCTTTTCTCTTCAAAAAAATCAGTTGAAATTGGAAGGATACAAAAAAATAATAGCATGACCCTACTGCAAAATGACATGCATAAATTGAAAAATGATCCAAATTTTGAATTATAGCAGTTTTTTATGGGTACTGACTAATTCGATTTGTAAGGACCTTGATAGTTGTTGCCAAGGTCATGGATTTGATTCTCACCAACACTATAATAAATTCCTACCTTAAGAACTTTTGGGTGGGCAAGGAGGAAAAAAAAATGAATTCATAAAGTGCACACCAAGCAGTTGGATAAGGCTAATGATGAGAATAATTATGAAGAAAGAATTGAAGACATCAACAAATCCAAATGTACCTTATTAATACTAGGCTTTTACCAGCTTGTCAAACTGGTAAAACTGAAGACAAGAAGAGCCAATGTTTCCAAGCGTATGTAGAGTGACATTTTTGTCAATAATAATTTTCTCAATTACTAATTAAATTGCTGCTAAGCTCTCAATGGAATTCAAAGCCATAGTTTCTGACATAAAGACAAAATAACATATTAGCAGTTTCTAAAGCTTGACAATCATTAGAAGATAGTGTCAAAACGAACATCCTCATAATTGTTATGCGTGCATCTTAATTTGGGTTATACGGTTTTGAGTTGTGTTAGTTGGGTTAAACTGGTTAATTAGGTAAGACGGGTTAAATTAGGGTTAGGCGTGTTTGAGTCAAATTTGGCTCATGTCAAATATTTTGACCGACATAATAAATATAGATCAAGTTCGAGCTAAGCATAAATAAGTTGGGTCAACTTCCAAAACAACCCCAAATGTCAATTCTAGGCGAACCTACCAATGCTAGGTGTAATGTTCTTGGACAGCTCTACATTTACATTTTTTATAGTCTAATACAAATTTTCTAAATCATTTAACATTATTTTACTAACTAGCTTCCAAATACCTACTTGCTAATATTTTCTTTTCACCTAGCTGGTTGGCTCTTCTACAAGTTTTGCTACAAATACATTATTGATAGAATTATGGCTGGCAATTATGCTCAATAGAAATCTATATGTATTTTTTTGTTAATGTTTGTGAATTTACTTCAGCATCTACATGCGGTTCATGCTGCTTCGAAGGAAATGCTCCAATCCACTTGAATTCTAAGATTGTTCCCGCAATTTTGTCAGAGCTAAAAAAGTTTTAACTCAAAACCCAAAAAAGTTGCTTTTCAAATGAAGCCCGTGAAACGAGAATTTTAGCCATGTCTGTTCCACTATTTGACGGATTAATGAATGATAAAAATCCTTAGAGCTAGTTTTAATCAATGGAAATTCTTCTGCTCACTGATGTTGTGTAGAAACCAATTTGCAGCGATGACTGACAAACAAGCAACGTATATGTACACCATGTAAAGTCAGGAAGCGGATTGTTTTGGTAACTATAGGATGAACGAAGCAAGTAATTATCAAATAGAAGACCACAAACCTGCCAGTGCAATCTCTCCACTGCTTTTCCTTCTTTTACGCTTGGCAGATTGAATGTCAGGTTGAAAGATGGAAGCTTGTGTTGTGCTTAGAGAAACTGCAGAAAAAGAAATTGAACAACTAAAAAAAAGGCCGAAAAGCCTGAAAAAATCTGAAATCACAATAAAAAAATCAGAGAAAATTTTGTGTTTTATTTACCAGAGGAAGGAATAGACCATCCTTTAGCTCTAAAGAAATAAACTTGTTCAAAGTGACGCAATAAGGATATGTAGTACTTTCGAAGGACAAATGATGCATTTGTCGCAGAAGATGGGAAGTTGAAAGCATTTGTAATTTCTCTCCATCTTCTATCTCCAATAACCTGCCAATAGCATGACAAAAATTGCAGTGACGCAAAACTTAAAAGTTAACTAAAATGAAATTCTGATGATGTAATGGCAATCATTCATATACCGGAAATGTGCAAAATTCCCCACAAAAAAAAAAAAAGAAGAAGAAAAGAGAACATTCAAATTTGTATTTAATAAACTGCTATTTGACTCAATAATTACTTTACCCAAATAACCTCATTCAAAATGAACTTTGGATTCCATACCGGATTTGGCAAGGCAACACAGAAGATAGGATTGGGATTAGCAATCAAGCATTGGAGCATATGACGCCGTTCAACCTAAGAATCAACTATGTGCATTGGTTCGTATAGATTTGCTTTTAAATTCGCACCATGTGAGAGGTCTCATAGGTGCAATCAATGCTAGGGTATGCCAGCAATATAGGAGTCTCTTCTAGAGTTCTAGGTTTCTCAAATCATGTTTGGGGGATTCCACAAAATGTTATCTTAAGCCTAAGGTTTCATATAAGGTTGAAGATGCAAGTATAGCTCATGGTCGGGATTTTTTAAAGCGAAGTTTCATCAATTTTGATTTTCCTTTGGCGTTAACAGCCAAATCTTGCCATGAAACCAAAAGAGATGGTCACTCAACCAAGATGTTTGCTATAGAGTTAGGAGCAGAAAGGGAGATGACCATCTGACCAAGAGCAATTTAAGTGGTTTTGGGATTTGTAATTTTATCCACTATGCAATGTAAGAAGGCTTTTCACAATAAAATTTTAAGCACAAGGAGATCCAATTCTGCTTAAAAACGAGAAGAATTAGGAGGAATGAGAGATTTTTTACGATAATTTAAAGCTCAACCTCAACAAGTATATATAACATTTTCCTTCAAGTATCCGAATGTTTTATATTTATAAACATCTTCCTATGCTCCCACTGGTTGAAGAAGTGGCTAAAAATTATTGCTAGCTAAAGGTTATGAAAGGACATATTCAAAGGTGGCGGTAAGATTGCTTATGACAAAGAATAATAAGAATGAATGTTAAAAAATTACTATCGAAAAATAGGTGGCAAATGGGTGTTAAATTAGTACAATAGTGTTGGTGGTTGAAGGTGACTGCCATCTATAATAAGCTAAGGGTGTAGATAATGACAATATGTCAAAGTATAAGATCATCCTGTAATTAATAAAATAATTAACCTCGGCTTGCAAGTGTATGTTGGTGGTGGAATGAGATTGATGGACATAAGCTAAGTGCACCAGCACAGTATTGACAGGCATCAGTTGTAGGGAGCCAAGACTTTCATAAGAAGACGAGTAACAAGAACAAAGCTACAAAAGGGCACAAGGTGATGAGGGACGAGTCCTTCAAGTGTCGTGAGACTGTAAAGTAGCATTATGGATATGCCTCATGGGCCTAACCTACTGGGAGTTTGAGTAGATGTCAAATTTTATCGCTTCCCAAGCATGCAAAAAAGATGAGCTGGCTCGAGAAATTCCAATAAGTTGGCTGTTCAAAAAGAACAATGTTATCTTGAAACACGTGTGATCATGAATGACTTCAAAAAATGAAGCATTATTTTCCCCTTCATTTTATGCTCAATATTGACACAAGCTTTAAATGATAGTCATAAGCACATTTTTAGTGCAACAATAAGCATTGAAGCTGCTGTCCAATCATAGTTTCTAACGATTAACATTTTTTGCTAAAATAGAGAAGCAATCACTCGAGCTTGGACTCATAGATTGTCGAGGAAGAAAAATATATGGCTCTAGAAGAATTCTGAAGATGTGATCCCCCTGGAGTGATTCTCGAAGAAGTTATAAAATTCTCCAAACATTTGTAATGTAGAGGAGAGGAGCCAGAAAGTAATATGATCATATTGCGTATCTGCAGATTCATAGATTGTTTGCCTAGAGATCTTATTTTTGATGATAAAATCCAACATGCATTGCACCTACTGTTGGAATTATGGCAAGACTGACCACATAAATAGAAACTGCAAGAATCCTAAGAAGAAGGAGAATGATGGCGCTAATGTTGTAACTGAAGAAATACATGATGCATTATTTCTAGTAGTTCACAGTTCTGTTGATGACTGGAGACTAGATTCAGGGGTTTCCTTCCATACATTTTCCCGTCGGGAGTTAATGCGAAATTATGTTGCAGGTAACTTTGGAAAGTTATATCCGGCTGATGGAAAAACTCTGGACGTGGTGGGGATGAGAGACGTTGATATTGCACTCCCTAACAAAAGGAAATGAACTTTGCAAAAAAGTCAAGCACGTTCCTGAGTTGAAGAAAAACATCATCTCTGTTGAGCAGCTCAATGAGGGTGGTCATTCGGTAGTGTTTTCAGATAGCACCTAGAATGTTACCAAAGGAGTATTAGTACTGGCTCGGGGTAAGAAAACTGACACACTATATATAACTACAGGTTTACTCAGGCGAGGACACATGAGTCAGAGGTGCATTATGGGGAAGCAGAAGAAAGTTCATTTCCTAAAAGGTGGCAGAGCTTCAAAGACAGAAAAACCAGACATTGTACAGACAAATGGTGGAGAAACACAGAGCCATGAAGAAATCTTACAATATAAGAATTCGAGCAATTGGGAGCTGACCAAGAAGGAGTAGACGGATTCTCTGTCAAGGAATCAGACTTTGGAGCTGACAAAACTTTCACCAAGGAAGACGACATTGCACAACAAATGGGTGTGGCAGGCCTCGACGTTTACAAAAAAATCTCTATTTTCTTCTCTCCCTTCCTCTCTCTCTTCATTTCTTTCTCTTAGCACTCAAGATGACTTGGCTTGGTTTTGCTTGACATTTAAACCAAAATAGACTATTTATAGAAACCATGAGAGCGGTAAGTGGGTGGTAGGTGAGCGGTAGGTGGGAGGTAGGTGAGCGGTAGATGGGAGGTAGGTGAGCGGTAAGTGGGTGTGGTAGGTGAGCGGTAGGTGAGTACTTAATTAATAAGCTAATTAAATTCGGTGGATCGGGTCTCCACATTACCCAACAATTCTCCCACTTGGAGACTGGGACGCTGCATGCATCACTTACTAGTTGCATCATATACTAGCTATACCGACATTTTCCTCAAACATGATATCCTCCATCTCTGCAACTCGAAGCCTCTGTCTTCATGTCAGAAGACCAGCTGAAGTTGAGCACAACTTCAGCTTCTCACGAGCAACACCCTCAGTTGACATATCACCGTCAACGTAGTCTTGTACCTCCAAGCTCTTGAAAAGGGCTTTCAGCATGGGCAGAATATTGCTCATGCAGTGGGAGTTGTAAGCAGATACAAGAGTAAAGCAGATAAGATACAAGAGTAACCCAGGAAAGAGCTTGGAGGTACAAGGCTACGTTGACGGTGATATGTCAACTGAGGGTGTTACTCGTGAGAAGCTGAAGTTGTACTTGTTGAAAAGGGCTTTCAACATGGGCAAGATATTGCTCATGCAGTGGGAGTTGTAAGCAGATACAAGACTAACCCAGGAAAAAGCTTGGAGGTACAAGACTATGTTGACGGTGATATGTCAACTGAGGGTGTTAGTCGTGAAAAGCTGAAGTTGTGCTCAACTTCAGCTGGTCTTCTGACATGAAGACAGGGGCTTCGAGTTGCAGAGGTGGAGGATATCAAGTTTGAGGAAAATGTCGGTACAACTAGTAGATGATGCAGTTAATAGGTGATGCATTCAGTGTCCCAGTCTCCAAATATGAAAATTATTGGGTAATGTGGAGACTCGGTCTATCAAATTTAATTAGCTTCTTAATTAAGTACTCACCTACCGCTCACCTACCACACCCACCGCTCATCTACCACATCCCACCGCTCACCTACCTCCCTTCTACCGCTCTCATGGTTTCTATAAATAGTCTCTTTTGGTTTAAATGCCAAGTAAAGCCAAACAAGACCAAGCCAAGTCATCTTGAGAGCTAAGAGAAAGAGAGAAAGAGAGAGAGAGGAAGGGAGAGAAGAAAAGAGGGATTTTCTTGTAAACGTCGAGGCGCTTGACGGTATAATTCCTCAAAGTAGTAAAATCCTCTATAGCTCCGTGGACTTAGGCAAATTTGCCGAACCACTTAAATCCGCGTGTCGCTCTGATGTTTTTTTTCTGCGTCCAATTTTTCTCGTTACATTTTTCGATTTATTGTCGTCGTTTTTCACAACACCTACCACCAAGAATAAGGGGCTAGAGTGGCATGTCAACGGATGTGAGTCAAGGATGGCACCAAAAGGGTATGCCACTAATGAGAACTATGGGAAAATTGGTTCGTGTGCCGATGGAGCTATCTTTAGTGTTCACCTCATTGTTAACAATACACCCTAAGCAGTAGCAATAAGGAGACCAAGGAGTAGCTCCCTGAATGGGAATGAAAACATAATGAATGGATCTAATGCAAGAAATTGGGAGTAAATAAAGATTTAATCATGTGTGGTAACAACCTAAGAGGCGATGATGATAGTGGTGCCATAAAAAAGGCAGTAGACGTTAGAGGCCAAATGGCTTTTCTAGTCCACAAATAAGGAATTGATCCAATGACCATCATAAGCAAGGAGTTACATCTAGCACCTATTGTGAGCATATTAGAGTAAACGAATATGGATATCAGTCATGTGTCATCAAAAGCAGAGTCTTATAGAGTATAAAACCTACATGGACACTAGGGAAGCAACAAGACAAAATTGTCAAGTTGGCAAACTCAACTACATGAGTGGAAGAGCATAGCCGGGTGATTGTCTCTTGGAAAAACCTCAAACAAAGTTGGAGGGAGTTATCAGTATTAGCCAGCAAAGCAAGATAGGATAAACTTAAGCAAGTCTCTCCAAGAAGCTTCGTAGTTTTCTTATCACATTAGATCATTTGGACTTTCAAGTAGAGCACACATAGGAAATCAGTTACCCTCTAATCTTAAAGATTAAAACATCATAATCAAGTTAAGAAATTAAAGAGTCAATCTGGGTCTTGGGGCAGCAATCGCTTAATTTTATCAAAGAAATTGAAATTGACCAGACCA